AGGCAACAGGGGCTCTGGTCCCAGTTCCAAGGCAGAGAGGAGCACTAGTGCTTGTGGCTGCAGGAGAATGGGGTCCTTTCTGAGTAAAGACCAGGGCACAGAATAAGAGAGCAGTGACCACACCTCTGCTTGTATCATACCACATTGGGAGCATCCAAAACTTGCAGACTCCCAGAAGTAGCTCTGAAAACAGTAGTATAGAAAAGCTTGAAGCTAGGGGTAGTATTTTCCCATCCTAAGGTGATCAGAGCCAAACTTTAACATAAAGTTCAAAGTCAAGAAACAAGTTAGAAAAATTAGCAAGCAATAAAAAGAGGACCTAACCATAAAAAGTTACTGTGGTAGCAGAAAAGGCCAAGATACAAACTCAGAGAAAGACAACATGAAAATAGCTACAGGCAAAGCCTCAAAAAAAAAAAAAGCTAATTGAAAACCAGCAAAAAAACAGCTCCTGGGAGAGGTAAAGTCAAAAATCAGATCAGGAGACATAAAAGTGGGGAAAGAAATGAGAGTGATGCAAGAAAATTATGAAAAAAGAAAGAATTACCAGCTTGGTAAAAGTGGTACAAAAATTCATTGAAGAGAACTCCTTAAAAAGCAGAATTAGCCAAATGGAAAAAGAAATGCAAAATCTAACTAAAGAAAATAATTACTTAAAGATCAGAATTGAGCAAGTGGAAGTTAATGACTCCATGGGACATAAAGGAATAATAATAAAAAAAATTCAAAGGAATGAAAATGGAAGAAAATATGAAATATATCTTAGGGAAAAAAACAACTCACTTAGAAAGCAGATAAAAAGAGATACTTAAAAAAAATTATACTACCTGAAAGCCATAACCAACAAAAATAATATAGCTAATATTTAAAAAAAATTAAGGAAAGCTGCCCTAATATCTTATATTTGGAGGCTAATGGTGAATTTAAAAGAATCCACTGATCACCCCTTGAAAGAGATCTCAAAATGAAAATGCCCAGGAATATTATAGGCAAATTCAAGAGCTCCCAGGTCAAGGAAAAAATTAAAAGCAACCAGACAGAAACCATCTATATAGTATTAAGTCACAAATCAGTGTCACATAAGATTTAGCAGTTTCCACATTCAAAGAGCAAAGGGCTTACAAGAGGATGTTCTAGTAAGAAAGGGAGCTGGAATTACAATCGTGAATAACCTACTCAGAAAAACTGAATATAATCCTTCAGGGGGAAATGGATATTTAATGAAATAGAGGACTTCCAAGCATTCCTAATGAGAAGACCAGAGTTGAATAGAAAATCTGAAACTCAATCACAAGACTCAAGAAAAGCATAAAAAAGTAAACAGGTACTCAATAAGGTTAAACTGTTTACCTTCTTATATGGGAAGATGATATGTATTAACTCCTAAAATCTTAATCATTATTAAAGCAGTTATAAGGAGTCTACAAAGGGAGATGACATGGATGTGAGCCAATTATATTGGAATGATCTCAGAAAAATGAAAGGTGAGAAAGAGGGATGCATTTGCAGAAGGGGAAAAGGAGAGGTACAACAGAAATTTTTCTCACATAAAGAAGCACACAAGGAAGAGTTTTTGTAGAGGAGGGGAAAAGGGGGAAGGGTGGGAGATGCTTGAAACCTCACTATCACCATCATTGGTTCAAAGAGGGAAGAATACACACCCATACACCCATACACACACACACACACACACACACACACACACACACACACACAGAGTTAGGTATAGAACTCTATCTTACCTAACAGGGAAATAAAATAAAGGAAAGGGAGTACAGAAAGGGTGTCTAACAAAAGAAAGGACAGATTAAGATAGTCAGTGATCAGAAAAAAAACAGACTTTTGAGAAAGGACAAGGTAAAAAGAGGGAGGAAAAGGATAAACAGAAGAATATGGGTTAAAGGGAAACACACAGCAATCATAACTGTGAATGTGATTGGGATAAGCTCATCTATAAAATGGAAACAGATAGTAGAATGGTTTAGAAACAGAATCCAGCAGTATGTTGCCTAAAAAAGACACATTTGAAACAAAGACACATGCACAGAGTCAAAATAAGGGGCTGGAGCAGAATCTTTTTATGCTTCCATTGAAATAAAAAAAAAGGCAGGTGTAGCAATCATATCGAATAAAGCAAAATAAAAAAATGAACTAATTAAAATAATACAGAAAGTATATTTTACTAAAAGGTACTATAAACAATAAAGTAATATAAAAATTTATAGCAGATTTCTCTGATAGAAACCTCATCCATCAAATATATAGGGAACTGAGTTAAATTTATAAAAATGAGAGCCATTCCCCAATCGATAATTGTCAAAGGATATGAATAGGCAGGTTTCAGATGAAAAAATCAAAGGTACCTATAGTCATATGAATAAATGCTCTAAATCATTATTCATTACAGAAATGCAAATTAAAACATCTCTGAGATACCACCTCACACTTAGCAGAAATGATAAATATTAGAGGGTATGAGGTAAAATAGACACACTAATGAACGTTTAGTGGTTATGATTCTTCGCCATCACAAAAAGAGCTAATATAAATATTTTTGTACATGTGGGTCCTCTTCTTTTTTTTTTTTAACTCTTTGGGATACAGATGTACATACCCTTTGACCCAGCAATTGCACTACTGTGTCTATAGCCCAAAGACATAAAAGTAAAAAGGAAAAATGACCTATATGTATAAAAATATTTATAGCAGCTCTTTTTGTGGTGGCAAAGAATTGGAGATGGAGGAAATACTCATCAATTAGGGAATGGTTGAACAAGATGTGACTTATGACTGTGATAGAATACTATTGTTATAAAAAATCAGGAGAGGGATGGTTTCAGGGGGAAAAAATTGAGAAGACCTATATGAACTCATGCAAAGTGAAGTGAGAAGAACCTGGAGATCATTGTACATAGAAACAGCAATATTTCCATGATGATCAACTATAAAATATTTAATTTCTCTGATTAATACAATAATCCCAGATAATGCTGAAGGACTCATAATGGAAAAAAATGCTATCCTTTTGCAAAGAGCGAATTGATGAACTCTGACTCCAAGTTGAAGTATAAGTTTTCACTTTTTTCTTTCTTTTTTTGTGATGTGGCCAATATAGAAATATATTTTGCAGGATTTCACATGAATAATTGATAACTGTATTGCTTTCCTTCTCAATGGGTGAAGAAGGAGAGGCAGAAAGAGAATTTGGAGCCCAAAATTTTTTTTAAAAGAATGTTACAAACATTTTAAAAAGAAAGAAAATGATGCCGACAGAGACTAATTGACTTGTCCAGGGTCTAGCTAGTCTGGATTCAAACTCATCTTCCTGACTCTAGACAGGAAGTGCTATTAAGCACTATTGGTTAATACACTTCAGAATCTAGCTGCAGGTTAAGTAATCTGGCCAGGGTCACACAGGCAGAAAGTATCTGAGATAAGATATGAATGAGATTTTACTATATGTGTGCTGGTGAGGTCTTGACTGTTGACCAAGGACCAGCCTAAGTCCCAAAAACGTTTGCCATACCATGATAATTTCTTCAGCCACACCGCACATCTTGAATATCATTGGTCCTTTCCTTGTTTCAATTGTCAGAACTCCTTGCTCCCCTCCCCAGAGTTACTTTTCATTTACTTCGCGTAGCTCATATATTTGCTAATCTGTGTACAGTTTGTTTCTACCAGGTAGAATGTGAGATTTTTAAGGACAGGGACCATTTCGTTTCTGCATTTATATCTCCAGTCCCCTTGCATAGTGAAAGGTACTTTTTTTCCTTTTAATTAGATTTTTAATTCCAATGGTGTTGGGGTTTCTCAATGAAAAACTTGCTCAACTAATACGAACCAGGATTACTCTTCAATATATAGTCTTATAGTTTAATAGGGACACTGAGAAATGACAGGATCATGGTCATGTTGTGAATATGTGTCAGAATGAGGACTTGAAACCAGGGCTTTCTAACTCTGAAGGCTGAAATCACTATTCCGCATTGCCTCTAACCTGGAATGTAGTAGTTGCCTATACACACTTGTTGAATTGAATTCAATCTAGTAAATGATAGAAGTCTTGCACTTTTCATTGCCTCCAGAAATGTCTACATACCTATGAAATTACAGATCCTTCAAGCATTAAGACTAGTGCACTTCTCTCAAAAGACTTTAATGTGTATTTTTTAAAAATCTTAACATAATCAAAATACATTGTACATGTTTTCATAGAAGGGAGTAGGAAACTGTTGTCCTTGGACCAATCTCAAATGAAATACACAAGGCTAGTACTTACATTTTATTATGTTAGTTATAACTAAAATTAAGGGCATATTCTTAAATTTATACTTGTTAGTCCTAGAAGCCAAAGATAAATATCCACCTGTCTTCTGGTAAATTCAGGTTGTCAATGGAAATAATTCTCGATGAATAGAATGTAAGATCCTGAAGGAATAGAATATTTTCCCCTTTGTCCCTGCACAGTATCTGGCATAGACTAGGTGCTGAATAACTGCTTATTGATTGATTGATTGAAGAAAGCTTGAAAAACTTTTGAGAATATTTCATGACTTTTGAGCAACTTTATGCTTTTCATAAAGTAACATTTGCTTAAAGAATTTCAAATTGGATAGATGGGTTTTGGAATTCAGATTTAAAATAAGGTTAAGTTTATTTGAAGTAAAGAGCAAGGTTCCCCAACCAGACCTGTGAGCAAGATGATTAAATTCATAATTGTGACAGATGATATTTATGAAAATGAATTTTATAAAAGAGGTTGAATGTGAATTTCCTTTGTTTCATATGCCAATTTTTTCTACTTTCTGAAATCTTAATTTTTTTTCTTGAAAACTTAATGCATACCTAATTTAAATTTTTTTGATCCCACCAAACATAAAATTTTTATATAAGAATATTTTCAATTGTTTATAGAAGAGTATAGCTATAGAATGTTCAAGATGGAAGGGACTTAATAGATTGTCTCATCCTACCAACCTGTTCTCTCATTTTATAGGTACAGAAAATTGTGCTGAAGAAGGCTGTCACTTGCAGAATAACTATTAGAATCCATATACCTATAAATACAAAAGTTTGAGCTATTAAAACAATCGTTACATCACATGTATGTTTTATCTCAAAACCAGTAAGACTTGAGTTCAAATCCTCCTTCAGACAATATTGACTATATCATACTGGGCAAGTCATTTAAACATTTATAGAATGGGAATAAAAACACCTGTAGTCTCCAAGTCACAGGATTAAGCAGAGGTTCAAATGAAACAATGTGTGTAATTCAATTCACAAAAAATACACTGACAAATATATATATATATATATATATATATTTACACATACATATGTTATTATTATTGTTATTGTTGTTGTTATTGTTATTATCGTCCTTAAAAGTAAAATAAGGTAGATATCAAATTTCAAACACAAGCATCTCTGGTTTGTACCATTTCTAGAAGGGTACTCATCAAACTTAATCTGAATGAATATTAATGATTAAATACCTCCCGGTTTTATTTTAATTAGTATACAGTAGTCGTATTAAAACTCTTTGATGTATTAGTAAACTAGTAATAATAGATAGATGGAGATAGATAGATAGATAGATAGATAGATAGATAGATAGATAGACAGACAGAAACAAAGGTCATTTACTATGTTCCAGACATCGTGTCTAGGGCTGGAATATAAATACAAGCAAATAAGACAGATCCTGTCCCTCAGGGGCTTACTTTCTAATAGAGGATCACATAAAGAGGAGCTGGAGAGCTTAGAGTCAGAGGTAAGATGAAGAGTGTCTCAAGGTGTGAGAGATAAAATCAGAGTTTATTTTAAATCTGAATCCCTGCCTGAAACCATGGTCCTAGTGCTGGAGTCACCGATCAGGACAGTAAGCCTCAGAGTGGGAAGATGGTTGGCAAAGAGGAGGCAGAGTCTGGAGAGTAATTGAGGTGTGAGAGAAGGCTAATGAAAGGTTTTATTTTTTTTCCTAATTCATGCCATTGTGCACTGAAGCCCTACTGTTAGTCTGCTTCATCATGTAAACAGGTGACCCTGGGTTCTAAATGACTACTTTATTGAAACACAAGCACGATCAGGTGTTTTTGAAACTTTGTGGAGGCTGTGAAACCTTAACATTTGGACCTCACAGTGTCATCTATTACCCAGAGGCCACCCTAACTCAACTAAAAGAAGCTCATTATCTGGCTACCAGGGAAATGGATATTTTTTACCATGGCAACTCATGATACTGACTGCTAAGGCGTGGAGTCAATAGATACACCACAGTTAAAAATAGCGGTAAAACAATTCTTCAGAAAAGAAGTGAAGGACATACATATTAAAAGATAAGAATCCAGAGCATTATAACCCTATGAGTGATTGATTCATCCTGACAATCTATCTAGAATGAGGAAGTATTACAGAAACACCCAGTCTCAAAAGTTGACAGGATCTTAGACACCAGCCAATCTAGCCTGTGCCTGAACAAGAATGCCCTCTATGAAAGACTCAAGTGGCTATCTAGCCTTACCTTGACTTCCAATGAAGGGAAACAGCTTCTCCCCAAAGAACCATTCTCATTATTAGGAATCTTTTTCCTTGCATCAAGCAGAAATCTGCCACCTTCCCACATCTACCTTTTGCTCCTAATTCTGGAGCCATTCAGGATAAGTCTAATCTTTCTTCCATAAGACTACCCTTAAATAATTAAAAATAGCTAAGTCATCCCTTCTCAATCTTCTTGTCTTCAAAATAAGCATCCTGTGTTCCTTTAACAAGTCCTCTTATGTTAGGTCAATCAGTGCTCCCAAAAGCAAAAAGTACTCAGGTTGTTATTAGAAAATGTAAAACAAATCAAGAGGACCAGTGTCCCCATCAACACTGAGTAAATAACTAAATAGGGGTTAATTTACTGTGCAAAGGAAGAATAATAACTTCTTAATAACCATTACAGAAAGATATGATGTTAAAATAAATCTCACAAATTCAGAATGATAAAGATCAATCTGAGTTAGATGAAAGTCTAAATGGTTGTGGTTCAGTCATTTTAGTCATGTCTGACCCTTGGTGACCTCATCTGGGGTTTTTTTGGCAAAGATACTGTAGTAGTTTGTCATTTCCTTCTCCAGACCTTTTATAGATGAGGAACTAAGGCAAACTGGATTAAGTGACTTGGCACTCGCACAGCTAGTGAGTGTTTGAGGCCAGATTTAAAAGCATGAAGATGAGTCTTCCTGATTCCAGGCCCAATGTTCTATCTTCCTCGCTGCCCCCAAAGTCTAATCAGACCTGGGGAATCTGTGACCTCAAAGCCACATGTGGCCCTCTGGGCCCTCAAGGGTGGCTTTTTGACTGAATACTAACTTCATAAAACAAATCCCCTTGATAAAAGGATTTGTTCTGAAAAACTTGGACTCAGTCAAAAGGCTACACCCAAGGACCTAGAAGGCCACACACAGCCTCAAGGCTGCAGGTTTCCCATCCCATCATATGTATATGTATATGTGTGTGTGTGTGTGTGTGTGTGTGTGTGTGTGTGTGTGTGTGTGTGTGTATACTTGCAAATATATGTTTAAATGTACTATCAGTAATTCAAACCAGTCTGGTGAAGTAGCATCTCTCTCTCTCTGCCTCTCTCTTTTCAACACACACACACACACACACACACACACACATATGTATGTATATATATACACATATATATATGTATATGTGTATATATATTCTATATACATACATACATATGACTATTTCCAGAGTTATTGAAAATAAGAGTGTTTCATTAGTGTTTCCTTCACAGTAACAACATCTCTTGAATAGGTCCCCTTCCTACTGATACAGCTACCACCCTGGTACAAACCTTCATCCTCTCATTCCTAGGCTATCATAAGAAGATTCTGGTTGATATTCCTGATTCAATTCTCTCCCCAGTCCAAGTCATCTTCCACTCAGTGACCAAAGCAATTTTCCTAAAGCAGAGATCTGACCACATCATTCCCCTACTCAATAAACTCCAGTGACTCCCTATTAACTCTGGAAGACAATAGAAAATCCTCTATTTAATCTTTAAACTCCTTCACAATCTGGCACTTTCCTACCTTTCCAGTAGTCTTTAACTTGACTTCCCTCCAAATCATCCAGTTCTATTATTCTTCTGCCTGTTCCTTGGAACTGACTCTTCATCCCCTGACTCTGAAGTTTTGCAGTGGTTTGCTTTCCCTTCTAATTTCCACCTCATGACTTCCCTAGTCATCTTCAAGTCTTAGATATAATTGAATCTTCTACAATAAGGCACTCCAAGTCACCCCTTCTCTGCTTCCACTGGTAGTATCTTCCTTCTGAAATTGCCTATTTTATTTAGAGTATCTTGTATATATAAAGTTATTTGCATGTTATGTTGTCCCTCACGTTGGAAAATGAGATCCTTGAGGACTCAGACTGTTTCAATCTTTCTTAGTATCCCCAAACTTTAACGTAGTGCTTTTCTAAATTAATAAGTGCTTGTTTATTTGAATATCTACAGATTTCATTCCCAAAATTTCTTCATTTTAATGCCCTCTATCTGTGGAATAGATGGACTCCAGAAATTTAATTCAATTTAAGTCTCATCTGAAGATTACATACGTCCAAATTGATGTTGTCAAATACTTAAATTTCTATTTTATGGAGAAGATAAGGACATTGAATTCCTTTTCTCTACTACCAAAAAGAGTATTCTCAAGTAGGACAGAAATAAATGTGAGTTAAGGTAAAGAAGGCATCAGTGATTAGGCAGACACTTCTAGCTTTCTCAGTTCATAGGGTCCTATCATAACTGTTCTGTATACTTTGAGTATAAAAAACGTAAAAACAGAAATACTTTTTTGGAGCAAGTATACTTTAATAAAAAAATAAACAATAGTCAAGACATATATTGCTGTGTGTGTATTCCACAAATATAATGCTGAATATCTATAAGGGTGTGCATACATATCATGCATATATTATTATACATACAGTATGCATATATTATAGATATACAAGGTACATATATGTAATTTATATTTGTTGAATATAACTTAAAGTGGTTTATCTCCATATTCTAAGAGGAGAATCAAAAGGCATTCCATGGAAAGCATATGCATGAACTAACTCAATCTACTAAATGTCAAAAGAAAAGAGTTAAAAATGGTTGAATCATGTAAATTTGTTTATGTAAATAGAGGAATTTATTGATGGAGACTCAGGACCAGGTCACTGCAACTACAAATTTTAAATTTGTTATCCTTAAGAAAACCAGACTTAGTAAGCAGGGTAAATTATGAAAGGAAATAGTAGAAAGTATGCAGCACATCATTGTAGGCTACATAATATTTAGTATCTCCTGAATACCTAGTTAGATATAACCTAGTATTTAGAATTGTACAAAGAAGCTTATTACCTTTCATGGAATAGCAGAAGGGAAACCATTATACTATAAAGATAGATCTTAAAATAATCCTGGAGAGTTCAACTGATTAATTGTACTGGAAGAGAACCATTCTAACAATCAGTCAGTCCATCAACTAGCATTTATTAATCACTTACTATATGCCAACCACTGTACTAAGCATTTGAGATACAAATAAAAGCAAAAAAAAAAAACAGTAACAACAATAATCCCTGTATCAAGGAGCTCAGTCTAATCAGGAAGACAACATGCAAACAAGGTATAGACAGGATAAACTGGCAGTCATCACAGACTGACAATGTTAAGATTAAGGAAGAATTGAGAAGGCTTATTGCAGATGATGGAATTTTAGTTAAGAGTTGAAAGAAGCTTTGGAATCCAGCAAGCAGAGAGGGGAGGGAGAGTGTTCTAGGTGTAGGGGACCACCACTGAAAACACTTAGAGTCAGGAGATGGATAGTTGCATGTGAGGAACAGTAAGGAGGAAAATTCTACTGGATCACAGAGTATGTACAAGGGAATAGGGTTTAAGTAGACTGGAAATATTATTAGAAGTGGCTACTTTATAAAGGGCTTTGGATACCAGACTATTTTATATTTGATCCTGGAGAAATTAGGTTGTCAAATTTTGCACTTGACTTCCCTCCATGTTAAAAGATCCACTTACGTTTATTGATTAGAAGGACATGTTAAAATGTTACAGTCACCTGGATTAAACAAAGAGGCATATAAATTTAATAACAGTATCATTAATTGATGCCACAGACTAAATAATCATAAATCCAGTTCCTGTGACCCTAAATCCCAGGATCTTTTTACTGTAACAAGATATTCAAGTAAGATGGTTTTGAACTTACAGTAAAATAAGGAGATATCTCATTTTTTAACCTGGACTTTATAATGCTAATTAAGAGCAGAAGAGTGGCATAGAAAGGGATGGTGGTCATCCAGTGGAAAAAGCAACGATTTATTAGGATCTATGACCCATAGGTCAGTCTCAGACATTTCCTATCTCTGAGATGTTTAGAAAGTCATTTATTTTTGGTGGGTCTCAGTTTTCTCATAGGTTAAATGGGAAGATTAAACTAATTCATCTAAAAACATCCTTTTCATCTCTAATGCTCAATAATTCTGTAATAACACTTTTAATCAGCAGAATTGTTCTAATCTTGTTAGGCAAATTTCTGAAGGAATTTCTAAATATGAAATTCCTAAACATGGGCCAACTGAACATGTTCTTCCAAAGGATATGTATCTGTGAAGTACAGAGGCATTAAAACATTCCTTTTTTGCTCAGTTCCTTTGAAGCTATTGTAAAAGTATTAGATCTCAGCAGCTGTTACAAGGTAGCAAGTCAATCCCCAGCTTTTCGCCTGTCAGGTAGATAAACATTATTAAGCATTCAGTGGATCTTTGAGTCTAACATGGTAAGATATGACAAACTCCATTGTCTCAATTCATTTTTCATGATAACTGAATTATAAAACTTGAACTTAATAGAGCAGGAATATATAAATCACTGTGATTCCTAGTGAAAGTCAAGGTGGGGTGGAAAGATTTCTGAATTAGGAGTCAAATGCCCTGGTTCAAAGCTGCACTGCAATAGATAATATATGTAAAGAGTCTTAAAAACCTTCACAGGTTGTTAGAGGCAGCATATATAGAAGACTGATAGTTGGCAGAGTCAAGGGAGAGCTGGCCTTTAAGCCAGGAAGGTCTGGGTTCAAGTTCTGACTTGAACACTTTCTGGCTGATTCTGGGCAAATTACTTAATCTCTCAAGACTGCAGACGACTTGTGAAGTCTCTAAGTTTCAGCAAAGGTTACAAGTTATGTTGATAGAGAGTGTTTCCCCTCTGTCAACGAAATCATAGGTCCAGTCTCCATTCCTAGGAAGAACAGTAACATAAACTGATGAATCAAACGCTATACCTGGACTCCCACCAGAGATGTTTACTTATGGAGTGGCCATAAGCAAATCATTTAACCTCTCTTGGGCCAACTTTCATCCTACAAATAGATATGTGAATTTAACTGTGTGTAGAACTCTGAGTGAGGAAATCCTTCCACAGAGATAGGCAATTGCATATATGTTCTTACATGTCTCACATATATGTATATATGTATTCATCTATATGATACATATATGTAATTTAGACTGTCATGAATTCACAATGACCAGGGCAGGAGAACCCCTCCAGTGATTATTGGATAAGAATTCAATGAGCAAACAAATCAAGCCACTCTCCAAGGAGCACAGAATGGGCAGTTTTCAAAAACAATATCATTCAGCAAGTGATTATTAAGCACCTACTGTATTTCAGGCACTAGGAGACCTGCCAAGGATACAGTCAGAAATAAGGTAGCACTGCTCTCGATATATTTAAAGCTAATTTGGTGATAGTGATGGGGGGGGAGGTAAAAGCAATGAGAACATCTTCTTTCACCTTCTTACCTCATTTAAAGACCACCTAATGGCCTGGGTGAGGCCAGAGGCCAGAGAATGTTTCTCCTGTCTGCTTATATGGAGGAACTGTTGGAGGGGTGGGGTTGTTGCTACTTGAGCCAAACAGCTGTTTCCTATTACATCAGGCATGTCAAGACTTTGTGAATCCCAGACTCCACCCTTTCATCTGCTCCTCCTGTTCATCTCCCCAGCATGATTCTAAATGGCTCTGACATCAGCTGAGTTTGGAGGACAGTATTCTGGCGGGGAACAGGCACATATGAGTTGAAGAGGGGAAAATGCATAAGGAAAAACAAATGCTAAAAAATCAGTTATTCTGTTGTGCTACATTAAGAAAAAACTAAATTAAACTAAAATATAGGGATAGCAATGAAAGGGGAATGCCAGTTAGAGTCTCCAGTCTTTTCAGAAAAGTGCAATTTTATAAAATAGCAAATGTTAATCCAGTGTCACATGTCCAGGCTGAATCTACAAAATTACTAAGTAAAATGTATATTCTATTCTTACCTTGACCTTCCCATTGCAGAAGACTATTTGCAAGGTCTAAGAAATCATAGGCAGTGTTATATCCTAGGAAAAATTTCACTGGGCTAGGAAAATGAATTGCCCTGGATATATACATGTAATCCTTTGCAATTGATTTCCTCATCATTCTTTTGGTTTGTTTATTTATTTCTGAAAGACAGAGAGAGAGAGAGAGAGAGCACCCATCACCTGAATGAGAAGGTACAAGTTGAAAGGGATTATTTTCTTACAACTGTTCCTTTCCTAGGCTTGGATGTGCCAGAAAGATGGTGAGAATCCAGAGGTCAGCCCCATGGAGTGTTCTAGCATTGTCAAATTGCTGTTACTGATAAATCTCAGGTTGTTTCTTTTCAATTTTTGGCTATAAGGCAAGGGCAGAGGAAGCATTTTAAGAGAAGTTAACCTAGGAAAAGTTTGTATAGACCTGGCAGTGATGATCCAAATTCATGTGAATTGATATTGTTGTTGTTGTTGTTATTATATTCCTTTTTCTCCCTGGTGATTAGCAGAGTAACTGGCACAGATTAAGCATTTGAAAAATGTATGTTGAATGTAGTTATCATTATGTGAGTTTATAATAATTAAATGAAGAGATAAAAAGATCCTTGTTGACAACTGCAAGTTGGGTCTCAGATAGCCCAGGAATATTAGCAATTTACTGATTTAATAAGGGGAATTTTAGTATTGGACCATTGGTGTTTATTTTGTAGCACTTAAAATAGAATAGATTTAGAGCTGGAAAGGAACATTGAAGCCATCGTGGCCGACTTCTCATTTTGTAGGTGAGGAAACAAATAGATTGAAATGGATGGGGATGAAAGTGACTTGCCCAGGGTCATATGGCCAATGGTGTGTCTGAGACAAGTATAGGAGCAACCCACTTGTCAAATGAGAGGACTGGACAAAATGGTCTCTTCCAGGTCTAAATCCATGATACTCTGCTCTGATCCTATGCTGCCAAAATCCAGTGAGTACCTGAAGGATCTTTCTTTTTGTTGCTGGTGTTTGCTGTTTGGTCATTTTCATTTATGTCTGAGTCTTTGTGACCCTATTTGAGGTTTTCTTGGCAGAGATACTATAGTGGTTTACCATTGTTTCTCTAGATCCTTTTACAGATGAGGAAACTGAGGCAAAGAGGGTACAGTGACTTGCCCAGGGTCACACAGCTAGTAAGTGTCTGTGGCCAGACTTGAACTCAGGAAGATGACTCTTCCTGACTCTAGGCCTGGCATTGCACCTCCTAGTGGACACAAAAAGATAAAGGAAAGGACTGTGCATTTATCAAGGGCCTACTTTGTGCCATTCACTGTACAAATATAGCATTTGCTCTACTCAACAACCTTATGAAATAGCTGCTATTATTATCCCCCCATTTTATATTTGAAGAAACTGGGGCAGGTAAAGGTTAAATGTAAGTGTCTTGCGGGAGGTCATACAGCTAGGAAGTATCTGAGACTAGACTTGAACTCTGATCTTCCTGACACTGGGCCCACATATCTATCTACTATACCACCCACTTTTCCCTAGTGCTCAGTTCTGGAAATGCATTTGAATCCTGCCTCAGACATATACTACCTCTATGATCCCAGATAAGCCCTTTATCTTCTCTAAGTCTCAGTTTCTTCATCTATAAAGCGGGGGTCAACATAGCACCTGCTTCATGGATTGTTGGGAGGCTCAGATGTGATGACATATCAAAAAGTGCTTTGAGAAATATAAAGGGCATTGTAAATTCTAGCTATCATAGTATGAGTTTCAGTTTTCCTGACTCCAAGAGTAATGTCCTACATACTATACTGCACTGCATTTTTTTATTTCTCATTTGTTTATAACAGGCCTTATTCTGCAATCAATCTCCTGTTCTATGACCACCATTAACAGCAGCTAATTACTGGAGATTTCCTGTGTGTGAGGTCCTGGACTAATGATCAGGGTCAAAGATGTTCTGAGAAGGAAGACTAGCAGCAGGAGGGAAGGGTGTGGGGACCAGGCAGGCCTGCATCAAAAGCTAGCATTGGAGGTGCCTTGAAAGAAGCCGGGGAAATTAAGAGGAGGACGGAGAACATTCCAGGCATGGGAAAGAGGCCACTGGACAGTGCAGAGGAGTGAGGAATGGGAATGGTCATTTCTGTGGGGAGCAAGTATGTTCCCCTCCCAATATTGGCTGCTTGAACAGATTCCCATTTGGCCTATGCTAGTTATAACACTGGACAACACATATCAGTTAGAGATATGGGTGGCCAGGTAGTATCACAGTGGATAGAGCTCTGGGCCTGGAGTTAGGAAGACTCCTCTTCTTGACCTCAGATACTTACTATCTGTGTGACCCTGGGCAAGTCAGTTAACCCTGTTGGCCTCAGTTTCCTCATATGTAAAATGAGCTGGAAATGGCAAATCACTCCAGTATCTTTTCCAAGAAAATCCCAAATGGGGTTATGAACTCAGATAAGACTGAAAATGACTGAACAAACAACAAAAAGAAGAAATTTTTCAGTGAGACAATGAATACCGGCATCATAGGAGCAGAGCACAGTATCTTAGATTTAGAGCTGGAAGACACCAGGTTGTCCAATCTCCTCATTTGACAGATGAGACAACTGAGGTCCAGAGAGGTTTAGTGACTTGGCCACAGCTACAGAGTAGCAAGGTTACTTGGATACCTTTGCAGGTCCTTGGATACCAAAGCTTTTCCCAGAGAACCATGATGTTTCCAATTTTCTGAAGCTCTCATAGGACTGAAGATCTATCAGGAGAAAAAAAAAAGAAGTAGGTAGCCAATGGCTAAAATCTCTAACCTTGTTTCTGAACAACTTGGTCATTTCTGCACCAAAGGGTTGTCTTAGACAAGAAACAGAAAGCATAGGCAAAGAGAGAACTTGTATCATGAGAAACAGGAATTGTCCTGTCACCGGGAAGGGACAGCAGGAGCCAAATGAATCCAATCTCTGATAACAGGAAACTGAAGCAGAAAAGCAAAACTTAATGAATGAGCATGTGACTAAAATACACTTAGTTACTGGAATTAGTCTAATAGTTCAATTGTCCTCTTCTACAAATTCAGAGTGCCTAATGAGCACCTCTATGACTTTACTCACCTTAATGGATAGAGAGTGTAATGTCACTCTGCTTAATCTTTATTTGCCAAATCCAAATATAGAAATAATAATATTTAGCAATGGATGATAGGTAGCCAATGCATTGCAATGGGGGCCCACAGGACATTGAAAGACACTGAAGAAGGCTTTCAGCTATTCAGCACTGAATAGCTCCTTTACAGAAAAATTATGGAGGGATATAAATAGGAAATATGCAGTATGGGAGGTTCAGATGACTTGCTTTCAGTACCAATGAAGGGAGTACCCACACCTAAGAGATTACAGATGTCTCGAAGGATTGAAGTAGGTATGTTGAATAATCCAGTCTTGGAATTCTTCCTTTCTCATCACCGTATTATTCATGGGAGTTTTATTTTCCTCACTATTAAAATATTTACAATCCATGATTTTTCAAACATCCATAGCCTATAAATATATGGCAGTAACTGTTTTAAAGTCTTTCTCTTGTCTTTCAAAGATCCAACATTGCCAATTAAATAACCCACACAATTGATTTGGTTTTATCCAATTCAGTATTGAATAGTACAAGCACAAATTGACATCTGAAGCCACCAAATGTCTCCCTTATTATGCAGAGCATCTATAATGCTGCAATGCTCAAGTTCATTTGGCAAATTTCTTTCCACAAAGATAAACCCCGCCTTGCTTTCTGGCCTTTGACTCTTGCATATTAAATATCAACCTAGAGGCAAATTTGTTTCAGCCATCGGTGTAATAAGATTACCCTCCTGACTGCTTCATGTGCTCTGAGAAGGCCAGATCAAGGTGCTGACACCGTCAAAGTGAAGGCAACTGAATAAAGAAAGAGTGAACATTTCCTGAATTGAAGCCTTCTGTTTCCCATGTACAGTATGGACTGTCAAAAAGGAAAGTGAGGACTAAGGAAAGTTTAACTCTTTTTACTTGTCTGTTGAGGAAATCCCTGTCTTAATCTCAATGATCTTACTAGACAAACAGCGTCAATCTTTTCAAGGGTCAAGAGTACAAATAGGGTGGTATGAGTGGGGGGTGGGATTATACTCGTTTCCTTCGGAGGCTTAAGGGGGACTTTGCAGAAGAATTAGATCTGCTATGGAAGCAACGTAGTATTTTTTTCTTGGATAAATATTTTAACTCACTAGTCAAAGTTTGTGGCTCCAGTGAAGATATCTAGTGGGACTTGACAAGGAAAAGAATAAAGCCAGATCAAAATCACTGTGAAGGCAAAGATAAAAGTAGAATCCATAAGTGGGAAGGACACACAAATGTGTGTCCTAAATACGAAGTGAAGTGGAGAGAGTGCTAGACTTAGACATTCAGTACTGTGTTACATTGGTCTAGTACCTTAACTTTTCCATGGATAACAATAGCACCAACTTCATAGGTAGTTGTGAAAATCAAGAGAAATAAAGATGATAGATAAATGGATAGATAGATAGATAGATAGATGATAGATAGATAGATAGATAAATAGATAGATAGATAGACAGATAGATAGGCAGCTAGATTGTTCAATGGATAGAGCTCTAGGCCTTGAGTCAGGAAGACCTGAGTTCAAATCTAGCCTCAGATACCTACTACCTGTGTGACCGTGGACAAGTCACTTAACCCCTGTTTGTCTTAATCTACAGGAGAAGGAAATGGCAAACCACTCTAGTATTTTTGCCAAGAAAACCCCATGGACAGCATGGTCAACAGAGTTCCAAAGAGTTGAATATGACTGTACAACAACAATATAGATAGATAGAGTGCTTTTCCTACTTTAAGGTATTATATGTGTAACTTATAGTTACAATTATTATTGTTGCCGATGTTTTGTGGCAGCGGCAGGAAGGAGAAAGAAATCAATGATCTAGGAACACATTTTGCAGACATGATACCCAGCTTATGACAGGTTCCAGAGTTTCTCCCCAAATCAGGTCCAGATATACCTAGGTCAGTCCCACACAACAGGATCTCACCCTGATGGGGAAGAAGGCCAGACACTTTACATGGAAGGTGTATCTAATGGGTTTCTTACCTCTGATATCATGGGCAATTAGCTAGGATTATTCCAGGGAGGAAGATTCCAGATGAAAAGGTTTGCAGAAAGGGTGCAGGTTGGCAAAGGTTACCAGTCACTGAAGATACAGTCCAACAAAAAGCCAAACAATTCTCGCCCTCAAGGAGTTCATAGTCAAGGTCATATAGCTAGTACATGTCAGAGTTAGGACTTGAACAGAGGTCTTCCTAACTCCAAAGTCACCTCTCCATTGTGTCACATTGCCATGTCTTTAAATTTTGTTTCTTTTTCTTTAGTTCCTTCCATCCTTCCTTCCCTCCCTCTCTTCCTCCTTTCCTTCCTTCCTTCCTTCCTTCCTTCCTTCCTTCCTTCCTTCCTTCCTTCCTTCCTTCCTTCCTTCCTTCCTTCCTTCCTTCCTTCCTTCTTAGATATGTGAAGTTAATACATTGGAAGCTTGTATCAGGCAAATCAGTGATCCATTTTTTGAGGCACTGAGAACTTAAGAGGCGAAGTGTCTTGTGCCAACTGGTATATGCACATACAATAAATACTCAGCAAATTATGAAGCCAAACAAGCACTAGTAACTTGAGGAATTACAAAAATTCCAGGAGCAAACTCAATGGGCCGGTGATGTCTTCTTATCCCTTGAGACTCCAAGTCTGAAAATCTGTGACCAAAGGAAAGCAGCTGTGGAATCAGAGAACTGGAGATTCCTGGTGAAGGAAAGGGGAGACCTAGATCACCTCAATTATGAGGAAGTGATACATAAACAGAATTCATTTTCCCCATTAATAGCAGTCAATAACATTTCCAGACCATAGAGAAGGAGCAAGCAAGGAAGGCAGAGAGAGAGACAGACACAGACAGACACAAAGAGAGACAGAGACAGAGAGATAAAGATACAGAGACAGAAAGAAACAGAGGGAGACAAAGACAAAGAGTCAGAAATAGAGAGACAGTGAGAGACAGAGACAGACACACAGAGGAAATGGGAGATGGAGAGACAGAGAGAGTGAGTCAGAGATAGGGAAAGAGAAAGAAACAGAGACAGACAAAGAGCAACAAAAAGACAGAGACAGAGAAAAACAGGGAGACAGAAATGGAGAGAAAGAAGAGAGAGAGAGAGAGAGAGAGAGAGAGAGAGAGAGAGAGAGAGAGACAGAGAGAGAGACAGAGACAGAGAGACACAGAGAGAGACACAGAGAGAGAGAGAGATTGGTCACAGAAATCTAAATATATCATTCTCCTCCACAAATGTCACTGCCCATAGGCAAATGTAACTCCATGCTGAGCCATGTGCTACTATCATAAACACAACACTGTAGGAAATCACTAATACTAACCATGGCCAAGTCAGTCATGTCTTTCCAGAATTGGAAACATAATTAACTTAATGAACTTACTCAGCATTTGAAAAGTTTCTTCTATTTGGCCAGTAACAAGAAGATACTGTATTTTCCACCAAAAAAAAAGCTTTTCTGTGTTTGGTCATAGGTTATTATTTAGCCATTTTGCTGTTTTAAGGGACTATGAACATAGGATAAAGAATAGATTATTTCACAGGTGAAAAGTTACCTTAAGAAGAGTATAAAAAAAGTCTCTGTTATTTTCTTCATGTGGAATAAATAGCAGAGATGCAGGCCACCAAAAAGCAATAACTGAATGTGCAGTTAAGAATGTTGTTTTCCATACTCAAACTGAGACATGGAAATGGACATTGGAGATGAAGAAAGATCAAGTAAGTCATCTCGTCCATATAGACACATGCCCCAGTGGGGGGAAATTGCTTCCTAAAATAAACCTTCTAATATTTTAGTGCTGTTGACTTTTGTATGTCCCTGGTGATTAAGCTGCTATCACTTATTTTTCCTGCAAGACTGTTCTTGTAACCCAATATTTTTCTTTGTCAGGAAGTGCCTTAGATTTCCCTTCTCTTCATTTCAACCAACAATTCCAGGACTCTCAGGGATTTTAAGAGAATAATTAATACAGTAGTTGTAAATCACTTTTAAAAGACATGCACATTCCATGTGGCTGCTAAATATAACACTAGAAATAAATAACCTCCTCTTATTTCTTGTTTTAAAATATGGACGTCCCTCCCCTCTTTCATTATACATTATGCAACAGCAATTTAGGCAAGAGATGAAATTCTCTAAAAACAGTAACCATAGCATGAATCTAATTCTTTAACCTCTCTCTCTCTCAATCTCTCTCTCTCTCTCTCTCTCTCTCTCTCTCTCTCTCTGTAAATTGATCTCTCTAAACAAATATATATATAGACACATAGAGACATATATATATATATACAATTTTTTTCAATCTTCCTTTCCATGTTAATCTTCCTAGTTCTTTGATCCATTTTGTTGCTTTTTCCTGAGCAGCTCCAGTTTATCTCTAAATTGGGGCCAAAGGGCAGTTCTCAAATGCAGCATTTCAAATACAGCTTCCTTATTTTTCTATTCAGAAGATATTCAGAGATATTCAAACCCACACACTAGACTCATGGACATTCTTCTTCCATCTTGATACTTTTGGCTCAGTCTGGTATATGAGTGGGGGGTGACATACTCTGTACCAATGAAAATTCCAATGTCGGCACAGCAAACAGCAGGAGATATTTAGATCTGT